CAACATTATTGGATTTATGTTATTTCATTTTGTCGTTTCAAGTGATTGGCTGTTGCGTGCTATCCCCGGTGTGGCTGCGCTTGATGTGCATGTTGACAAGGTGCCTACCTGTCTATTACCCACTACCTCGTCCATACTGGCTCCAGGAGACAGTTGGTCGTTGCTGGGGGGGACGGGGTGCACGGTCCTTGTGGCCGTGCTAGGCTCGAAGAGTGGTTCCATGCACTCAGTGTGGAACGGACTACGGTCCAGCCAGCGCCTTGTGTGCGCTTGATTCCCCAAATACAGTGTGCTTGTGTTTGCCTGTGAAGGAGTGTGGGCCGGCTCCGTTGATGAAACGTGGTTCCCATCCACATGCCTCCCGGTCTTATTCCTTCGGGTTTACACTGGATATGGGGTGTGTGGTTGGAGCTGTGGGTGGTGCAGCGCAAGCCACCCATGGTCCCTCTGTAGGCGCAGGCGTCCTGTGGCTTGCCACAGTGACAGGCAAATCCGAAACCGGATGCCGCCAACCATGTATGTATGTGTGCCCCATGCTGAGGCTGATGTTGCATTCTTGATGCTTCTTCACCGCAGTTGGGCTAAACCAACTTACACTTAAACTAGGTCTCTTTAAGCTGCATAAATTTCATTCCACTTTATTTGGTTAGTTTTGCCTATCTGAATAGTCTTCTATTAGCTGGCCACGTCGCTTACGCCAATTGCGCTTATCTTCGGTAATTTTGTTGCGTTTGTAGCATTTTTGAGTAACTTGTGGACATTTTTTCCTTATCACGGATTCATTGCTAACCAACTTACTTCATATGCTAACTTAGCGAAGAGTTATGCCACCCACCGTATCTGTATGCATTATTGGATTTATGTTATTTCATTTTGTCGTTTCAAGTGATTGGCTGTTGCGTGCTATCCCCGGTGTGGCTGCGCTTGATGTGCATGTTGACAAGGTGCCTACCTGTCTATTACCCACTACCTCGTCCATACTGGCTCCAGGAGACAGTTGGTCGTTGCTGGGGGGGACGGGGTGCACGGTCCTTGTGGCCGTGCTAGGCTCGAAGAGTGGTTCCATGCACTCAGTGTGGAACGGACTACGGTCCAGCCACCGCCTTGTGTGCGCTTGATTCCCCAAATACAGTGTGCTTGTGTTTGCCTGTGAAGGAGTGTGGGCCGGCTCCGTTGATGAAACGTGGTTCCCATCCACATGCCTCCCGGTCTTATTCCTTCGGGTTTACACTGGATATGGGGTGTGTGGTTGGAGCTGTGGGTGGTGCAGCGCAAGCCACCCATGGTCCCTCTGTAGGCGCAGGCGTCCTGTGGCTTGCCACAGTGACAGGCAAATCCGAAACCGGATGCCGCCAACCATATAGAGAGAGAGAGAGGTGGGGAAATCGTCAGCTGTATGCTGTAACGGCGCTTCACCGTCATGCGACCACCACTAGCCGCGTGTGGGCTGAGTACACCGCAAGGACGCCCGCCCCTACGCAGATTCGAACTTTTGACTTTATGATTGCAAAACAGGCGTGCAGACGACTGGGTCACCGACCGGCGTATGGTTGGCGGCATCCGTGTCCAGATTTGCCTGTCGTTGCGGCCTTCACGAAGACAGCCATACGAGGCCTGCGCCTACAGAGGGACCATGGGTGGCTTGCGCTGCACCACCCACAGCTCCATTCACAACCCTTTTCCGGTTTAAACCCGGAGTATTAAGATCGGGAGGTATGGGGATGGGAAGTAAACGAAATAAAACATACAGATATGCCGATTTAAGTATTAACCAAATTAGCATGAAATAAGTGCGTTATCTAGCTATCCACGATGCATTCAAAAAGACGGAAAATGAGATAAACAACATATGCACGAAACACGAATAAAATTAAAAAAATGATAACCTTTCCTGTAAGCGACGTAAGTAAATAGACGATTATTCTGATAGACCTTTATGTGAGGTAACAGTGTAAGTATTAACGAAATATAGCAAAGCGATCACCTGAAATAAAGCAACAACGCGCAAGCACGCGGTCAGTGAATCAACTGCAGGGTACCTACCAACGCTGCGCCGGTTCTGCTTATGTTCTCAGCAGGACATGTCGTTTTGATACTGGTCCTTAGTCGACTCACTCCTGGCTCACTAGGCCTGTCTGGCTCAGACACTCGCGAGCGCATCCGCTGCAGTGCCACGCACTCGACATCGATGCAATGCATTCCTTCGGCGCCTATCGCTTCCACAACTCAACATCATCAACAACAGCAGTACATAAGCCATTTGAACTGATGCTTCGCTGTCATACAACCATGATGACCTATGAAATGAAGAATAATAAGAGGGAAAGAAGGGGGACTTACCAGAAAACCTTAACGCCCTAAGCAAACACTCAGGGTCAAGGCGTCTACACATTGTACAGACGACATAACCTCGAAAACAGCTGGCTATCGTGCAAAGATAAGGCGGCATCGGCAAGACAGCTTCCTTACGGCTTTCACTGCCCCGCGTCATAATCAGCCATTACCCCGCAGATAACTGAGCGCTACTTTAAACAGGCAATCCGATTAGGAGACAGCAGCAGACGTGCCACTGGTGTCGGTTGCGAGCCATGTCTTGTGAAGTCTCTAGCCAAGCACAAGGCGAGTCACGTGGACTCCAGCCTGGAAGGCGAGAGGGACCAATGGCACCCAGTTTGGTCGTCAGTGACTTCATTTCTCGCTTCCAAGTCAACTTCTGTCCACCGCAAGCCTTGCGTCACCCTACACCTATCAGACTAAACAAGGCCCCCCTAGGTAAGCGGTGACCAGGCATGCGTAGCACGTGCCCGAGCCATCGCAACTTATTCAGTGCTATCTGTTGTTCTATGGAGCTAGCATGGTTAACACTACCTAGTACTCGTCTACACACATCATCGTTGCGGACACTCTGGTGCCATCCGACACCAGCAATGCTTTGCAAACAACGATGATCAAAGACTTGAAGGCGCCTCACACCGAAGGGGCCGTCTCACTATCATATAGCAGAACGGCCCTCACTGTGGTCTTGTATACACGGCCTTTAATACGAAGGTAAAAGAAAACACAACACAACACATAAAAGTGTTGTGTGCGTTGTGTTTTCTTCAATTATTTCAGACGGAGGGAAACTCCCTTCTGTCGCCAGAGATGCCGCAGGTTCAAGAAGTCAGCTCTGGCCTTTGCAATGCGTGAGCTGACGTCACTTTCTATGCACCCATCGTTGCTGATGCAGCTCCCAAGGTAAGTGCATTGATCGACCACCTCGAGTTCCTCGTTAGTAATGGTCAAGGGGTCATAAAGCGGCTGGTGGTCTTGCAGCGACAATTTGCACTTTGAACGTGCGAAGTGCATACCAAATAATGGGACCATTCTAGACAGGCTATCCAGAGTTGATTGTGCCGCTGCAACATCGTCGAAAAGCAAGACGATATTGTCCGCACAATCAAGATCAACTAATCTTTCACCTGGCAAGACCTCAGCGCCTACATCGTGAGATTCTGCAAGGGAACGTTCAATGATAGAATCCACGACGAAATTGAACAGAAATGGGGAACTCGGACAACCCTGATGAACGTTACTTGTGGTCGGAACTCTATCCAATAGGCCACCGTAAACCCTGACGCGACCTGTCTTATTCGAGTATAGCGCACGTAGGATGTTGACATATTTCGTGGGAATACCTTTCTGCGCAAGTATGGCGAACAGAATCGATCGATCGATTGAATCGAACGCACCCTTGAAATCGAGGAACACAGCTATTGTCGGCCTGCTCCAGCACCTGCCGCAAAGTGAATATATGGTCTATACAGCCACGTCCTGGGCGGAAACCGGCCTGCTCTTCCCCAATCCGAGATCGCCGTTCCACAGTGAAGTGACGAACGAGAATCGAAGACAGTAATTTTGTCACAACTGGCGTTGGGCTAATACCCCTGTGGTTAGAACAGTCTGTGCTACTGCCCTTCTTGTATATAATCGATTCGCTCCAATTAGCTTCCTTCCAGATACGTTCGAATAGGGAGGTCAGTGCTTTGCAGAGGACCTCGCCCCCATCCTTAAATCGTGCAGGTGAGAGGGAATCCGGGCCAGCGGCACGAAAACGATTGAGTGCTGTGATCGAGTTTCGGACCTCGACCTCCGACGGAGGCTCTAAACTAACCGTCCATGTCCCGTCCCGCATCACCTGAATAGGAAGAGGTCCGGGATCAAAGGGCCAGCTGAACTGATCTTGAAAGTGTTAATCCACTCGCGCTATCTCTGGTTGTCTCACTGACGCCTGGTTTTCTGGGACCAATGATGCAGATCAGCTGGAAGAGCTTGCGTTAATTGCTTACTGCTCCTGCCTCCTCCATTTCTTAAGCCCTACTGGTCCACCAGGCTTCCTTGTCAGCACCTAGGCTCCGCTTTAGCTCGCCCCTACTATCCCGTCTGGTCACATTTTGTTCAGAGCCAACCGGAAGCTTTCTTCTAGATTCCAACCGATCTTTCGGATATCCAGTGACTGGTGCGGTGACGATTGATGGTGCCACAAGCAGACGCTCCTGCGTCGTGCATGGCGGCCGATACCCTGTTCCACTGAAGCCGTGTCATTAGGACAAGACATCGAATGTTCGGTATGCAGTGCATCTTGAAAGGCTTGCCTGATCAAGGGCTGAGAAAATTTCTCAGTTGCCAATCGGCGGAGACGCTTTGTTCGCCTCCTGGTCAAGTTCATGGAAAAACGGCAGTGTACCAAGGCATGATCAGAGTCGACACAGGTACTCCAGTACGAGCGGCAATCCAGAATGGAACCACGCCACCTGTAACTTATGGCTATGTGGTCAATTTGGATTCATCGCTGGCCAGCTACAGGTGGACGCCAAGGGGCATTTCGACGCCCACTGTCTAAAAGAAGTGCTACTAAGAAACAACTGGTGTTCCGCACACAGTTGCAGCAGACGCTCGCCGTTGTTAGTCCGTTCGGAGTTAAGCCCATAATTACCACCCAGCTGAGCTTCTGAGGAGCTCAGACTCCGTACTTGTGCGTTCATATCCCCTGCAAGTACTATGATATCTGAACTAGTAGCACTGCATAGTAGCACGTTCAGTTCGTAATAGAATGTATCCTTGACAGCATTAGAACTGCAGTCGGTGAGAGCATAAACCGAAATCACGAACAAGCAGGATTTTACATTACTTCGTGAATCCACCTTGGCTGATGTCGTCAAACGGTCTGCACATAAACGGCTGGTTACCGGAATCCCAACCAACGATGCCTCAGCCTTGGAGCTTAGAATGTTACCTACACTAGCTTGATCTGTGAGTGCTGCATCGGCATCTCTAGATGTGTGCAACCGATAACGAGAGGATAGGTCGGGTGCAGTTAATTGAACAACCCTATTAGGGTCATTGATCCTAGTTTCGGACACACAACACACATCAATACCCAGTGTGTCCAAGGTGCGTGCGAGTGCAGCCTATTGACCTATTTATCTTAGAGTGCGAACGTTGAACCTCGCCATGGCAGCGGGACAGCATGGCCTTATAAGAGACTGTTGCCGACAGACGTCCGATGGGTGTCGCGAGAAGGTGGCTGCAGATGGTTCTACTCCAGTGACACTTCGGTTGCTGTCAACTAAGCTGAGAATTAAAGAAGGTAGGCTAGTACTGAAAGTCAGGATAGAAGTAAGAGAAACAGGTGGAAAAGGAGGAAGGGAGACGCCAGCAGTGTCATGCTTTCGCTTATCCGCCCTGCAGTATGCAGCAGATAAAGCGACCCTTGATAATCATCGCGATGGCCGATGCAGGATGAAGACTGGACGTTACCGTTTTGCGATGGTTTGTGTGCCTGAGCGATCCATTGAGCTATGCTGGGTGATGCTTTTTTGCATCTTCAGAGCCACTCATACCAGATTGGTCGATGGTTAGAGGTCAGACAAACTCAGCCTCCTGGTCCTCCAGGTTGGGGGTTAGGATGAGGTTACTCCTTATTCCTTAAAACGGACACTTTATAACCCAGCGCCAAACCCGCTGCCTTGCGGTCAGGTTTTTGAACCAAAGGCTTTGGTTGAGAACCCTAATCATTCTCCTGTCTAGGCCTAGACAACCTGACAGTATTTTGACCACTCAATATTATGAATCATTCATCAAACAAATTTCTGGTGCTCTGGCCACAGCAGAGGATAATCAACGGTGCCCTATCTGCTGCATCGAGCAGGGTGGATAGGGGTTTGGATGCTACTGCTCAAACCTTCCCGTCTTCCTATTCCTCCGCTTACGCTTTTTCTCTCTTGCCGTCCCTTTCCACCTTCACTTTATCCCCCAGTTTTCAGCCCCCCAATTCTTGGCCCTCCCCCACCTTGCTTTGTTAGGCTTTCACCCAGTTTCAGCTCACATGTGAACACGGATCGTCATTCCTGTCCTGTCAACAGGCCCATATCCAAGCAAACGGCCAAGCCAAGTTCATCGACTTCCATTTGGAGCCCTCGATCATACTTCAGGTTGGCATGCCTCAATCTACCCACAATGCTTCAGATCGGTCAGCAGACAGCACTTGCTCAAACATTAGAGGCCCTCTCGATCGATATCTGCTGCTTATTGGAAACTCGCCTGCAAGACTCGAGCTCTGTGCTCATTTTGCAATCCCCTTCTGGTGACACCAGCAACAGTTTCTCATTGCGCCCATCCGGTAACGATGCAGCTTCGAGCACCGGCCAAGCTGGTGTTGGTATTGCCCTGAGTCCCCGGGCTGGAGCTACTCTGCTTGACTGGATTCCGCTTAGTAGCCGGTTGTGTGCGGTCCGCTTGGCTGGCTCGTTCAAATCTTCGAAGGCACGTGTGACTAACAGGTATCTATTCGTTATCGCTACCTATGCACCGACAAAATCTAGCGATGACTCGGTACAATACGACTTCTATCGTCAACTGAATGAGCTCTTTAGCCACAAAAGCTCGCACACTGTAGTGCAGGCTGGGGATCTGAACGCTCAATTTGGAAAATTATCCACTGATGAGCTGCATCTGGGCGGCCAACATGGTATAGGCTCCCGTATTGATAACGGTGAGCGGTTACTTCGTTTGTGTGAAGATGCTCGCTTATTTTTTGTGAGTACTAATTTCCGCCACAGCACCTGTCGGAAGGTGACTTGGCGCTTACCAGCCTCGCACCAGCTATGGACGCAAATCGGTCACATTGCGATAACTTATTGATTTAGAGGTTGTGTTCAGAACTGTCACTCGATTTGGAGCACAAGTGTGAACACCGACCATGCACTTGTATGTGCTGACCTGAGGATGCGCTTTGGCGGACGCCCGCGACGATGTTGTGAGCGCATTGACACCAGCCAACTGGCGAAACCGACTGTTCTGAATGCCTATCAAAGTACGCTGTCATTTGATTTGATTAAACGCTCACTAGATCCAGTTAAAGCTTACTTGTCTCATATTCACCAGACCTTACTAGCAGCAGGCAAATCCTCATGTTGTATGTCTAATCGCAAAATGGACAATAAATCTCTTCGCAGTCGCTGGAACTTATCGATGCTCGCCGGCATATTCCGAATGGAAGCGAACACAATGAAACTCGCAAGGAGCTCCAGGCAAAACTCCGTGGTAGCCTGAAGGGAGACCGCGAATCCTTGTGGTTTCATCGTGAATTTGATAGGGAAATGGCCACTGCTCTTGATAACCATCGTAAGTTATTCCGTCTGGTACGGGAAACGGGCAGCAGAAGACCTGGTGTTAGTGAAACTATACGTGACGAGAGTGGACAGCCTATCCACAACTTGTCAAAACGCTTGGAGCGTTGGGCTGATCACTTTGAAAGGCAATTTAATCGGTCGGAATTGTTAGATTTCTCGCCGTCCAGTGATCACCCCGCTCCCTGGGATGTCCCTTTGGATCCACTCTCGCTCAGAAGTCGAACGTGAGATCGCACTGTTGAAGTTTAATAAAGCTGCGGGACCAGATGACCTACCTCCAGCGCTCTTCAAATTTGGGGGACCTGCTCTTGTGGATGATTTACGCTAGTTACTTGTGAAAATGTGGGAGCAGGAAACTGTCCCAACCGACTGGATCCCGCTCCGTCACAGTCCCAATCTTCAACGGAGGCTCATGATCGGAATGCGGCAACCACAGAGGAATCAGTCTGATTTCCATCGCCTCCAAATTGCTTGCCTCCGTAATTCTTCACAGACTGACTGGCGCTCGTAAAAGCCAGATTCGTGAGGAGCAAGCCGGGTTTCGTCGAGGTCGTGGCTGCATTGACCACATCTTCACTTTGCGTCAGTTGTTGTGACACCGTCACATATATTGGCGGCCCACCGTTATCCTGTTTCTCGATATCCAAGGTTTATTCGATTCGGTGGATAGGCGTGCACTTTTGAACTGTCTACTCAGGGAAGGTGTACCTGAGAAATATGTGAATATTATCCGAGCAGTATACGCGTAGCTCAGGCAGAGTGAGGGCATACGGCTGGGTGTCGTCGCCCTTTAAAATCTCCAGCGGTGTGAGACAAGGATGCCCGCTATCACCTTTCCTCTTCAACTTCGCTATTGACGAAGTCATGGAAATCGCGTTCACAGGACACCACTTAGGTGTGGATCTGCTCCCAGGAGAATGACTTCTGGACTTACAGTATGTTGAAGATATTACCCTAATCTGTGACAGCTCCCAGATGTACGAAGCGGCATTGGACAGATTAGCACTAGCTGTCAACCGCTTCGGGCTTTGCTTTGCACCATCGAAGTGCAAAGCGTTCCTCTAAGATTGACCTGAACCACCTTCTCTGACCCTTGGTGGGGATCAGCTAGTCGTTCAAAATTTCGACTACCTGGGAAGTTGTATCAGCGCCCGTAGGATTAAAGATGACGTTATGAACCGTATAGCAAAAGCTCGAGGCCCTTTTGCTAACCTTCGCCACTTATGGCGCCGGCGCGACATCACTCGCCCTGAAGGCTAGAGTGCACAATGCGGCAGTACGCTCGACCCTACTGTACGGTTGTGAAACCTGGCCCTTAGATCAGCGGACATACAGTGGCTAGTTACGTTCGATGCCTTCGTAATTTAGCTCATATCTGGTGGGAACACCGCGTGAGCAATGATCGTGTTCGGCGCCTTGTTTATGGCACGGGAAGAGTAAGTGAACCGCTCAGCACCGTTGTTTCACGCACCAGGCTCCGATGGCTCGGTCACATGTTACGCATGCCAGCCCACCGACACCCGCGACGTGTGTTGTTTGCGCGCCGGGGGTGTGAATGGAAGAAGAGGAGAGGTGGCCAAGCGATGACTTGGTCGAGATGAATGAAGGCCCTCAGTTCGAAGCTGGCCTCGGTTGGAGCGTCACGACTCCCTGGTTTGGGTCTGAAAGACGCTGACTAGGTTTAGCTTGATACACTTGTTGATATGGCTAGGAGCCGACCCCAGGGGTGTTCCTGCTGTGAGTTTCTTTGTCCCACCCCATCCCTCTTAGCCTCCCCTCCAACCACGATCTCATTATTTAGCATTTTATAATTTTGCACAGTAAATTATTTTTTTCTGCTGCATAGTAGCTGGCAGGTAGCTTACCGGAACGATGCCCATCCGTTACTGGTAGCTCAGCTGGCTTGCACCTGTCGCATTTTATTCCCTTTTTCTTTTAGGTATTGCTGCACAGTAACTAGGGTGTTTCCCGCCTCCAGCTAACGTGTATAGTGTGATGTTTGAAGAAAAAGTCATGATTGTATGTGGGCTGAGTTTCTGCCTGGACTCCCAGACCTAGACAGGAGGACGATTAGGGTCCTCATCCAAAGCCGTTGGCTCAAAAGTTTGTCCGCAAGGCAGCGGGGTGGTGGCAATAATTTAGTTTTGCAGAAATGGACGCCATCCCATTTCAAACCCCCAACCTGGAGGACCAGAGGACTGCGCTTGTCTAATCTCTCACCACTGACTAACCTGGTAGGAGTAGCTCTCAAGGTGCCAGGATGCACCACCCAGTATAGCTCAATGGGTCAAGGAGATACGCAAACCGTCACACTACCTTAAGGTCCGGTCTCGTTGCTTCCGCAACTGCCGTTTCTTCTCCGCATGCACCAGGGCTTTCACTTGCACCTCGGCAACTGTCTTCGTGGTCAGATCGCACCATGCACGCCGATCAACCACCTTCGATTCCCAACATCTGAAATCAACGTTAGTACGTAATAGGCTCAGCTTGGTCATTTCCTGGTAACCTACCTTCAGTTTACTCATGTGCCGCTTCTCCACACTCAGCTGACTAGATGACAGCTGCTTCGGTATCCGCGTCGAATCTTTGCGGCCCACATGACCGAGCGACCTCAAGTGTCTCAGCAAAAGTGTACAGTCCACTGCATACATTCCACTCCGGCGCAACACCGTGACTGCAACTGTCACACCAAACGATACTCAGAATCCATCGCAGACACTACTGACGAAACCGCTCGAGATATCTCACATCTCGCCGGTACATCGTCCACCTTTCGCTGCCATATAGAACGGACACTACCATTAATTTGTACACCATCAGCTTCGTGCTATTGTTAATCTGATGGTTTTCCCACACTGCCTTCGATACGCGGATACGATGGTCACTGTGTAGCTGCTGGTCAGTCGACACCACACTCCCAAGGTAGCAGAAGCGGGAGGTGGTTTCCAATACTTCAGCACCAATGCTGATTCGCAGCGCAATTGTAGATTGCACCTCCGGTGAAGGCTGAAAGAGAGACAGTTTTGCTTGTGTTGATGGTGAGCCCGCGTTTAGCCGCTATCGAAGCACGAGCCGACGTTATGTGCTGTAACTCATCTGCGCTGTGTGCAAACAACGTACAGTCGTCAGCGAACAGCAACATACTGATAATTATCTCACAGACTAGAGTTCTCGCACCGAAACGACGGATGTTCAGCAACTCACCATGAATACGGTGCTCCAAACAAACACCGTAAGTACAAGCGGCATCAAAAGCACAAAACATCATATCCGGGAATCAGATAAAACCATAAAAGAAAAAAGGGAAAATATATAATGATGATTGAAAGCTGGGCTGAAAGGAATCGCCTACCCAATGCGGTCGATCAGGCAATCGATCGAGCGGACGAATGCGTTTTCAAACTCGCGGCTAATTGGACTTTTGCCTCAGAGTTGAGAGGACAGTGTTTTCGGCGGCATTTTCTGGCTACGCTGGCAGAGTTTTTGTTAACACGTTTTTCGTGGTCAAGGCTGTTGGAATTTTGATTTTTCTTCGGCTGGGCTAGAATTCAAGCGGAGAAATTTCTGGGTGGTTAATTCGGAATAGCGAAAAAAAGTGAAGATCTAACAATGGCGACGGACAAGCACGGAAATGTTACAAATTTTTCTGCCGAACATTTTCAAAAGCTGCTTCTTCCGCAACAATCCCAGATGGAAGCCCAAATGAAACTGATTGAAAGTTTAACGCAGTGCTTAAACGTACAATCAAACGGAGCAGCTACACGGGACACGCAGGCTGTTTCACTTGATCTTACGAATTCAATCACTGAATTTCATTATGATGCTGATTCCCCATCCACTTTCGTGGCGTGGTTCAAACGTTGAGAAGATATGTTCCAGACGGATTTCAGCCGTCAAGATGATTCATGAAAAGCGCGCCTTTTGCTCCGCAAGCTCGGAACTAATGAACCTACAAGATTCCTTGACCACATATTGCCCAAAGAGCTGAAGGACATCACTTTCAACGAAGCAGTGACAACACTCAAAGAAATGTTTGGTGCGTCGACATCATTGTTTAGCATTCGCTATCAATGTCTAAAAATTGTAAAGCGTGATACAGACGATTATGGGGCACTAGCAGACATGGTTAACCGTGAATGTGAACGTTTCAAGTTACGCTGTTTGACGGATGACCAGTTTAAGTGTCTAATATTTGTCAGTGCTTTACAGTCTCCACGCGACGCGGAAATCCGCACTCGGCTCCTTGCTAAGTTGGATCAAGACCCAAATTTGACATTGAAGTCTCTTGTGGGCGAATGCAAACGGTTAATTACCTTGAAACACGACACGGCTATGATTGAGCAGAGTCACCCCACCATTGCCGATACTGTTCATGCTATGCAAAAAGCAAGAAAGCCTGGCTCGAATAAGTCGTTCAACAGAAAGCCGAACAAGCCACCTACACCTTGTTGGTCATGTGGTGAATGGCATTTCGCACGATACTGTCCATTCAAGCGTCATATTTGTGATGAGTGCCATAAACGCGGCCACAAGGAAGACTTTTGCCATCAGTCCCGGTCAAGAAATGTGAAGCAGTCCTACCGAAGGAAGAATTTCAGCAAACCTGACGCAGAATCACTATCGGTGATTGCTACATTTCACAGCGATTCTAAAACACGCCGCCGATTTATCACTGTGCTTATCAACGGAATCCCAACCCGGCTGCAGTTCGATACGGCATCAGATATAACGATCATTTCCAAGAACACTTGGAAGCACATAAAGAAGCCGAAGATGATTGATTCCAACAAAGTCGCTCGCAATGCATCCGGTGGAGTGCTGAAGTTGGTCGAAGAAATAAATTGCAAAATTGCATTCAACGGAGTGGAAAAGGTCGGAACCTGCTACTTGTCTGATCGACTAAACTTGAACCTCCTTGGACTTGACTGGATGAAAAAATTACAACTGTTTGATGTTCCCATGAGTCAGATTTGCAATAGAGTACAAACCGAACCAGTACATTCATCATTGTCGATAGGAGAAATGACCAGGAAGCTAAAGCAGCAGTTTGCCGCCTTGTTTGAAGATGGTCTCGGCCACTGCACTAAGTTCAAAGCAAAGTTGTGTCTTCGTGAAGGAACCAAGCCAGTCTTTAGAGCAAAAAGACCGGTACCGTATGCAGCCATGACAGCAGTTGATAAGGAGCTCGACCGACTGGAACGAGCCGGTATTATCACACCAGTGAACTA